GGGGGGGGGGCGAACGCGCGCCGACCGTCGTAATGCGCCGCGCGGTCCCGCGCGGGCGCGACACGCGGCCGTCGCACGCGCGCTAAAGCGAGTTCCTCGACAACCCGCCGCGTCGCAGCGCCCTTCCCCACCCCCTGGTGCCCCGGGGGTCCGCCGGGGCGCGTAGGAGCATCGAAAAAAAAAAGTCAAAAAAAAAGTGCCAATAGCTCCCATAGCTCGAGGGGTCAAAATTAACTCCGATCTGCTTTACACCTGTATCAGAGACGCTCAACTGCCATGAAGATAGAAGAGGTACAATCGACGACTCGACAACAGCGCGTCGCGGCGCACACGCATATCAAGGGCTTGGGTCTAGACGCTCAAGGATGTGCCCTAGCGATCGGGACGGGTATGGTGGGGCAGGAAAAAGCACGCGAAGCAGCGGGTGTGGTGGTCGAGCTGATCCGCACCAAGAAGATGGCTGGGTGCGTTAGTTGGCGTCCGGCCCTCGATCAGAGACAATCGTGCATTCGTGTTTCGCACGGGCATTATCTCGTCGCTTCAGTGATTTAGTGTAAACATTTAGGCGGGCGTTGCTATTAGCAGGTGCGCCTGGAACAGGCAAGACAGCACTGGCCCTCGCTGTCGCACAGGAGCTAGGTCCAAAGGTCCCGTTCTGTCCTATGGTTGGTTCGGAGGTTTATTCATCGGAGGTGAAGAAGACGGAGATCCTGATGGAGAATTTTCGAAGAGCAATCGGGCTACGAATTAAGGAGAACAAGGAGGTTTACGAAGGCGAAGTCACTGAGATTACACCGGAGGAGACAGAGAACCCACTCGGCGGCTACGGGCGGACAATCAGTCATGTACTTCTGGGTCTGAAGACTACCAAGGGTGCGAAACAATTGCGACTGGATCCTAGCATATATGAGCAGATGCAGAAAGAGAAAGTTGCAATAGGTGATGTGATCTATGTAGAGGGAAGCACTGGTGCAGTTAAGCGCGTGGGTCGATCAGATGCGTATGCGAGTGAGTTTGACCTCGAAGCTGAAGAGTATGTCCCCCTGCCGAAGGGCGATGTGCACAAGAAAAAGGAGATTGTGCAAGACGTGAGTCTACATGACTTAGATGTCGCGAATGCGCGGCCACAGGGTGGTGGGAACGACCTCGTTTCTGTCATGGGCTCAGTCCTCAAACCAAAGAAGACAGAAATCACCGAGAAGCTTCGCACCGAAATCAACCGGGTTGTTAATCGGTATATCGACCAGGGTGTGGCAGAACTTGTGCCGGGAGTCCTCTTCGTAGATGAAGTTCACATGTTGGACATAGAATGTTTCACATATCTCAACCGTGCGCTTGAGTCCAGCCTTGCACCTATTGTGATCTTCGCCACAAACCGCGGTGTGTGCACTATCCGCGGAACGGATATTGTTTCCCCTCATGGCGTGCCCGTCGACTTGCTGGATCGTATGCTCATCCTCCGCACGATGCCATACTCACTCGAAGAAATAGTTCAGATCATGTCGATTCGTGCGGAAATAGAATCCCTTGAGATTGATGACGAGGCCCTAGCGGCGCTCGGGGAGATCGGTATTCGAACCTCGCTTCGTTATGCTGTTCAGATGCTAACGCCCTCACGAATCCTCGCAGAGACCAATGGTCGTGATACCATCAGTCTTAGCGACGTCGAGGAAGTTGACGACCTATTCTTTGACGCCAAGGCTTCGGCAGCCATCCTTGCAAAATCAGAAGGCTATCTTGCCTGATTGCAGCCAGGCGCATTCGATGCGAATTATCTTCATCAACATACGTATGGCGTGCTCCAATATTGCTGTCTTCTTCACCAGAACTCGACCAGGGTTATGTGAGGAATCGTGGTTTCGTTCCCCGCGGAGCAGGGTCGCAACCCAGGTCCGGAGGCGCCTTCAGGTGCCCTTGTACCTGCGCTTTTCACCGTATGGCCCGTAGACTAGTCAATAGAAGCTCCCGGAGACATGCAGCCACTCGGCCCCAACCCACGCGCCGCATGCGTGCACATTGCAGGGGCCGCGCACATTCGGCGTTTCCCCCCACCTAGGTACAGGGTGGAAATCGAGCGAGAAGTAACCGGCCGGCGGCCCCTAACTTTTCTTGGTTGTTTTTGGTTTGATTCTGGCATTCTCGCTGCTGGACGTGCGCCAGTTTACCGTAGCGGCCTTGGTGCATTTTGATGGCGCTCAGGCGCCTTTGCCAGTGGTCGCATTTTAGCGATTTTCGTATTCAACTCGGAGTTTTGTGGTAGTTTTCTGGCGACTTTCGGGGCCTGAGGTTCTTTGGTTGTCCGGGTGTGATTTTAAAGGTTCTAAACCGATTTAAACGCCCGGCTTGCGGCAGCTTTTTCAGCTCACGTCGTAGCATTCATGGGCGAGATTGTCCCGAACGCAGGAAACTCGACGCTTTCTAGTTTGGGCCCCACCCGCCTCCCCGGCGCCTGAGTAAAGCCCCCAGCTGCCGACCCAAAATTGCCGGGGTCGTTTCGGGTTCCTTGGGGTCCCGCCCGGCGTCCGTCATCCCGTATACGGGTACGGCACTCTCAGCCTGGATAACACCAAGGCAGCCCTCGCTAGATGTGAGATAAGAAAAAGGGGAAAGATACGGCGACGCGTATCCGTAGGGTAAAGATATAATGAGATAAATAGGGCGGATACATGCACTGCAATGCCAGCTTCAAACTAAGCCAAAGGTAAATATTGAAGGCGGAAATCCCGCCACAAAAGGCGCCTCAGTGTGCGTGCCGCATTGGGTTCGGCACGGCGCGCGGTGGCTCGACGCGGAGCCGGGAGACCGCAGAGGGGTCGGCGTACTCCGCAAATACCGGTATATACCGGCGGTATATACCGGGTATTTACCATACCGGGTATTTACCATACCGGCGGTAATACCCGTCCGCTTTCTCCATATTTGCGCATTTTGAGCACCCCTGGCTGAGAAGAAGGGTGCAAGTATGGCTGTGCTCTAATACCCGGTAGGAAGTCTAATGGATCGGGCGATTTAAATTCGACGGCTAATTTCGCCGATCGGCTCATGTGAACGGCCGAGCTGTCAAATTTGCTGGGTCGAAATGCACTGATTAAGGCACACCTATTACGAACGCTTTCGAGATTATGTCTGATGAGCATCAGCAGTCTTCAACAACAACCAGTGTTAAAACGGCAAGCGAGTGGGAGTCACATGATTTGGCCCGGGCATCCCTGCTGGAACAAGTCTTGTCTGCACCCTCAAATCGAGTCACCCCTTCCGCGAGACAGGTGACAGCCCGTGAAATCCAAACAAGGGCAATGGGACCTGAGGATTTTGTGTGCCAGCGGGAAATTGGCATCGGTGCATTTGGCCGCGTGATGCTGGTAGTACACCGAAATTCCAGGCAAGTCTTGGCAATGAAAGCAATTTCAAAGAGGTTATTGCGACGCAAAAAAATTGCCCAAGAGGAATGGAGGCTTGAACGGGATATTCTGGTAAAGATAGAAGCACATCCTTACATTGTCGAGCTGCTGTGCTCGTTCCAGACAACAAGCTATTTCTTCCTCGTAATGGCTTATCTTCCTGGTGGTGAGCTCTTCACGTTCCTGCGCCGGCGGGGCACCTTTTCCGAAGATGTTGCTGCTTTCTATAGTGCTGAAGTAACGCTCGCACTAGAGCACTTGCGCTGATTCAGCGTAGGACCAATACCAACCTAGGTAAAACTCGTATCCCAGGCACGCGTCTAGGGTAATCCACCGGGATCTTAAACCAGAGAACTTGCTCATGGATAGCGACGGCCACGTCGTTGTCACAGACTTTGGGCTTGCCAAGGTTTTTGAGTCAGATGAAGAGCGACATCGCACGCTCTGTGGGACAGATGCATACATGGCCCCGGAGATGGTTGCAAGGCGATCGTATGGCAAACCCGTCGACTTTTGGTCCTTGGGGATACTGATATTTGAGATGCTCACAGGCAAAACACCCTTCACCCATCGAGAGACGAAGGAGCTTCACCGCAGAATTCTCACCGAAAAGGTCAAGTGGCCCCAATTCATAGGGCCGGACGCGATCAGATTGCTGCGAGGCTTGCTCGAGCGCCAGGTACCAAGACGTCTTGGTGCAACCAAGGCGACCATGTTTGAGGTTGGTGGTGTGTCAGCTTTGAAAAAGCAGCCATTTTTTGTCAAGATCGAGTGGCAACCCCTGTTGCGTCGTGAGTCTCCAGCACCACTTGCCCCGATAACTCGGGGGGGACAACGCGCTGTAGATGAAGAAATCTCATTCCAGGCTTCTTCAGAGTCACTATTTATCAGCTTCTTTCAAGATAATGCTTCGAGCTATGTGTCAACTTCAGACGCAAATTCTGACTCATCTACTGTGGTTGACTTTGATTTCACACGCAAAGGTGCGTTCCCTTGCGCGGTGCACGACGAGGAAGCAAAAATGGCCGGAATCTCCTCACAAAATCCATCAAGTTGCCATAGATCTCCTCCCAGAAATGAACCTGACACCACCAAAGAGCAACAGCAGAGAGCAGGACGGAAGCATGAGAAGAAGCTCCCAAGATAAAACGCGGGGGGGGGGAAGTAGCTTCCTAGTCCAGTAAGAAAGTGACTGGCATGCGAAGGCGCTGGGTGCTAGTAAACTTAGAATGGCGAACTTAGAAGGCCAGTCCATCGGCTGCGCGTCGCCGGTCACAACAACGCCGACGAGGCCGCGACGTCGATTGCGCCGACCCCGGGCCGTTCTCAGAGGACACCGCTAGAGGACACGGGGGCCGGGCCGCAGAGCCGGGCGACGAGCTCATGGTCGACGCGGCGGACACCGCCCCGCCCCTCAGGCTGCACACCGCAATACTCTCGGGCCCGGCCCGGGAAATCCAACGGGGCTGATTTCGCGACTGCCAGTGGGCTGCGGCCCCCCCAGGCGAGCTTTAAGTACGCCAGCCATTATCCCCATAATTTACATTAGGTACCCTGCTCCCTATCCTCGTGACGCCACACTATGGAGATGACACTGCACTCTCCCGTATCTTGGACTTCAACCGGTCGTCGCAGGCCCAACCATGCCCGCGACGGGCGTACGGTCCGCGCGTCATGATCGCAGGCTACCCGTACTTGCGGGAGCTCGGCGCGCCTCGGTATTACCCGGGCCGGGAATATGGCCCTCGGTAATACCGCGGTAATTGCCGGTAATAACATATCCCGCCGGCGGGATATGTTAGTAATTACCATACCGGTATTTTGCCCGGAGATTACCCTGGCGGCTATACCTCGCGCGCGCGCCGGCGGCGGGGGGGGGGCACTCGCGAGCAGCGTCGCGAGCTGGGCTCCGCTCCGCCAGGGCCCCCATTGCGCCAGGGGGGAGCCGGTCTGACCTTGACCTCGAGTTTGACATCCCCGCACGCAAATATGCCATGGTTAGAATGCATTCTCCGAAGGACTCCATCCCAATTCAATTTGTCCGCATGCAGGCTTTGTAAGCAGCCGACTGTCGGCCAGCCGCCACAAAAACGGTCGCACGGGCTACCTGCCAAGCGTCCTCGGGGCAGGCATCAAAACTGCTGGAGAATGCGAAGTCTGGACATGAGTACTTGGTAGTGCACGCCAATCATCAAGTACTTGGTTTCTTGAGCTGAGCGCACCATCTGATCCTTTACAAAGAAGAGCTACATAAAATAACACCCCAAATATGAGTGGGACTGCCCGGGTCTGCGGATTGATGGTTGCCGCATTGCTCATCTCAAATGCAAATGATGCGATCACATTGTGGAAACAGTGCAGAATCACGGTATCCCATAGGCATCGGGTACGCAGAGAAATGGTGCCATAGAAAATCCCGGTGATCACCGCAGATAGAGCTTGGAAAAGTATGTAGCGGGAATGCCGGCGCGTTGCATTTGTCATGTGAAATATGCCTACGCAGCATGCTATTAACATCTGTTTTTCAAAATAAAATGAAACCCTCCGAAGCGGAGTGTAAGCTGGTTTGCGCACCAAAAAGTCCCGCCTGCATGGTGAGACAGGCTCTTGGGTGCGTTGGTGCACGATTCAACAACGCTTGCAGAACAGCACCACGAAAAAGGAGCTCCTCAAGGACTGGCGAAGCAATAATAATTTCAATGAGATTCATGGTTGGATATACGCTCATGCGACACTGCGTCGCGAAAGTAAAAGCATAGAGTATGTGATGAGATGCCACGATACGCAAACATAATCGCGAAGATTCGGATTGAAGCGGTGGAAGTTCGAGGCCGACGACGTCAGTTTTGCCGAAAAACGAGTGCAAACGATTGCGCGCGTATAGACTCACTGCTAGCAGCTCAGCGATGCGAATCGTGGGCTCTGTAGAGCGCATCAAGCAGTGTTTGGGCTTTCCTGTCAACCTCACACAAAACGTGCGTAAAATCGCACACACCGCTAACCCCTCCGCGAGACAACCGATAGCCTAGTGAGCAGTGCCATCGATTACGTAGGCTATGTTTTGCCCAAACATTCCCTGGACACTGCAATGGGCCTCAATCCATCCCACACAGAATGCGCCTACCGTATCTATTTTTCTACTATCGCGATGAAATCTGAACCGCAGCAGCCCATTCTCAGCAGCATGAAGTATTCGGGTGTTTTTGCTCGGGGCGCGGCGATGAAGCGCCGTGGCAACTCTAAAGGATTCAGACGAATTGGCTTTTGCGCACCGCATAGCTGCTGAACCCGCCCGCATGGCTGCTGAACCCGCCTGTAGACTTCTACAGGGTTGATCTTCAATTGACGGCAGGCTGATCTTGGCCGTCTCGCGGGCCTCCGTTCCGGCCTTTCCGGGTGGCCAACGACCACGAGGCGCCCATACCCGCGTACTCTAGCGCCCCGCAGCCCATAGCGTACGCCCTTAATGCGCTAGATAGTCGGCGGATGGTCTGGGTTCAACGTCGAAGTTGCAGTGCAACAACACCAGGTTGAAGTTCGAACCTGAGCAAAATCCGGTCTGCGTGGCTAGATTTGCGTACCACCAGCCGAGGCTGCGTCGTGACGGCGTCGGAGAGCGAAACATTGCTCTGAGTTGACGCGATTCGCGCAAAAATCGGTCACCCATGCCCTCTCGACGACGGCGGTCACGAGCGGTGAGCGCGTACGTGCTTTGCGTCGAGTAGATCGTCGAGTTAGTGGCGATCCATTAAACCCGAGAAGGATTATGATGCTAGGAAGGTGTCCTGAAGAGGGCGGCCGCATCGACGGGGCTGCTGGCGCGCACGGCCGATCGCTGCAACTTGCTGTCAATTGAAGATCAACCCTGTATAGGCACCACTGTCGACCGCGCCGCGACATTTTGGATTTGAAGCTGGCTTGGTCGTTCACTGTCCATGCGCCAGCGGGCCCCCATTTTCTTTCGACGCCGTGCGGTGCGAGACGGCCAACGGTTGGCGGTCGACAGCCGCGGCGCAGACGCTGGTGGCCGGGCGACGCGAATTCTTGCTCAAATAGAACGGAAACGCTGCGGTTGCATTGCCTGTCGAGTATTGAACGCATGAACGCTTGCTCTGGGTGTCGAGCGTGCGATTTCGGACACCCGATTTCGAGCCCTCGGGCGCGTTCCCGACGAGCACCCGAGCGATTGTGTTCGAGCTGTAGACGCTGCGCTCGCCGTGCCAAAGCTCACTGTACTCGCGGCCGTATCGGTGGACCCCCTGGACGGGTTCTGGTCCGCGGCGAAGCGCTTTTGGAGCTGTTCTGCCGCCTGGAAATCTCAACATTGCCTATATCGGAGGGTTTTCGGTGCTGTTCGCAGCGTTTCGCGCGGCGCGGACCGATCACCGTCGCTGTGTTCCGCCGGGCGGTCGACATCATAGAGCTCCTGCGCGAAGCTCTACGCGGTCGTCGGCGACCGCAAGGCGTCCCGACACTCGCCGAAGCGCCTCGGCCGAAACCGGCGGATGGACGCCGCGGCCCTTTGCGGCCACATCCGAGCCTCGGTCGAGGTTTGTGCGACCGTTCCGTCCATCGACGGTCCTGACCACAGCCGCGGGCCGCCGGAGCGCCTCATAGACCGCCATGAGGCGCCCCTAGC